GGCTTACACCGTTTGCAAATATCTTTCAACTGGGATTGTCGGGATAGACATCGTGCGACCAGGTTCGATGATAGTTTGGCGATACACAACAAATACGCTGACGGTACGGTTCTATGTCAGACTATCACTGTCTCTTCAGATCTTTTATGATCTCTTCACTATTGGGATAACGTTCAACAACTTCCCGTTATTCGGATCTCTCTCCTCATCCCTCTAGATGTTTCCAGTTTCTATTTACGTTATCGCATTCTTCTATCCCTTCTGATTCGGTATTGATTATATCTGAACCGGGATTCCGGGTACACCGCATAAATTATTGTGGTGATTTTGTTATATCTTTGATCTTTATACCACTGCATCACCGTTTACTGATAATGTAGATTTTCTATCTTTCTATTGTAGCTGATGTACCTACATTGTTAGAAGATTAAAGCCCCATTTCTGGCTGTCCGTTTTCTCTCTCTCGTCCATCGCTCAATCATTCGAGCTCATCACAATTATCTAGGAAGTTTTATTGATGAAAATCTTCATTGGACCTCTCACATTCAACATATCGTCATTTCACTTCGAGAAATTTATTCCCGTATCCGTAAACTTGTTCGGTTTCGAATTCAACAGTCAACTATCTTCAGCTTCGTGAACCAATGTATTTTCTCCGTTTCGCTTCATTAGTCACCTATTGTCTTTTTGCATCTCCTAAAGAAAATCCGTTAAGCTGCTTTGACGTGGACCGACCGTCATTAGTTGTATCTCTTTAATACTGCTGGAGGAGTTGATTACCGTTTATGTGAACGTCATTTGAATGCGTGTGAAAAGCTTGCACATAGGATTCTCAGAGATCCCACTGATCCACTGCCCACAGCTTTGATTTCCTGTCGTTCGCATCAGTCAGCGACACCCTTTTCTATCAAACTTTAGCCAACACCCGCAGTATATGTCCACCGGTCATGAAAAGAGTTTACTTTAAATGGAGATACGGAACAGCAAGCATTCACGTATTTGTGGTATCACTTTAGGATTTATTTCAAAGCATGTGAATGCCAAACAATCTACGTTTTGTGTTACATTTGATATTTTCACTCACAAGAGTATCGCATATTACACGGAAAGACTGAAACTATAAGAGATAGGGCAAATAGATTGACAATACGGTTACATGGTTTAAACCTTCTCCAATCAATATTTGATGTGGCATTTGATACCATTACGACGGTCAGCTGTGCAGCATACGACAACCACTTGTCTACAGCGGTATGACTAAATATTAAGCGTCGAAGCTACAGGACTGCGGGTCGTGACTAAAGGATTGCGGCTGTTGGCTGAAGCTTGATGAGCAAGACTGTAAATCGCAATTTCCTTGTTTTCCCTCTCGCATATGCATGTGTCTTGTATCTACGATGGTCACGCGTTTTGGTTTATAAACAACAGGTTTTGGCAAACTTTCTCAAAAGCTTCGGGACTGAACTTTTTCTTTTTTTTCTTTTCCTCCACTGCGTACACCTTTGACTGAACTGTAGGCGTCGCGTCCACAGAAGTCACAATGAAAATTACAGTTACAAGTTAGGGAAGAGTAGAAACCAACTATAATCAAATACGTACCACTCAGCTTCAAAGTACAGCAATCGAGACTGAGTCTTGCGTCCTGCCCTTGTAAATGCAACGCACAATGCGCATACGGAAAGTAGCATAACATGTAATTCTATCAAATGTACTTCATGTGTGCTCAATGCACGTGAAAAGACAATCCGTGTGATTAGACTACTTCAAACTGCATAACTTTTCTATTCACGCGCCATGTAACATGTCTGCTATGAGAAAATCTGAAAGTTGAATCAAACTCTGCTGCGGATTACGAACGATCTTCTGAGTTCGCTCTCGATCTCGATAAACACAAATGGTGATGCATTGTTTGATGTGATCTACATCTAAGGTAAACCTGGTGGTAGTTGCAAGGCCATTGAAGATAGCTTAATCGTCGAAGATTACCACAGTTACCGCTATCAGGGAGTTCAGTGTCTATAGAGTACTTCGAGCGATAGATACATGGATCACAAACCTATTCAAACAACAAAATTCGTTGAGAAGCTTCAGTAGGAGTTATTGGTGGCGATCTACGGTGACTGGGCGATATTGTTCGCCAATGGCCTAACAGCTACAACCAGTTACGCCTTAATTGGAACCGAATCAGTTCAAGGTCAATCATCAGTAGAACTGAATGAAACAGAAGGTAGTCGATAATTTCGAATTTGAAAGCGGATATTCATTGTCAGAAGAAATATGGCCGCATAAATAACACCCACAAAATAACAATAGAGCGGACAATTTTTCGCCATCCGGTGGTTAGCAAGCACACTGAATAAACAAATAATGAACTCCATGGGGACACTAAGAATCAACTGTAGCAGTCTTGGGGCAGAAATGCAAAATGATTCGATGGAACTGTAAAAATCACTTCACAAGCACTGATGGAGTCATCTCAGCTGGTGATGAAACGTTTACAAATAAGTTTCCAAGCCCGGAGAACAGGCGAAATGGAATTCAATTCACAGGAGCTACGAGAACCGATTTTCAATATTTTGGTAAACAGTACTGTTTTTTACAGATCTCCTGTACTGAATGTTTATTCCATTATACGGAGTAAACTGTGAGAAATTGATTAATAATCTTGCCACTGGACTCAAATGTTTTCCTTAAAAACTATGAGGTTCTTTGTTAAAATGTTTCAACTACTCAAAAGTGTATTCTTCTTAGTTTTACAAGTTACGTTTTCCCTTGTAGACACCCCCTCCTATTATGTGGCATCTTTGTTATCTATGCGGAAATCTTTCTCACTGAAAAAGGGGCTCTATAAGTAACTCGGACCAAGGCTCTACTTACACATCCCGACATTTCCGGTAATTTCTTTCATGAATTTTGCGAATTGACCGTTTCCCCACTTTTATTTCGCGAAGTAATACCCGATGGCTGATTTCAAAGGCCACACATGGAACATTTGTGGTGGTATGCGATGCTACAGAAGTTGCGGCATTTGCATTAGCTACTTTTGAGTGCATAAGGTATTTTTGTTATGGATCCTGAGACTGCATGCTTTCGCTGTGGATGAAGTGAGAAAATGTACTAAAATAAACCGCCCTCCACTGATTGTACCAGGAGTGAGGGAATGAAGACAAACGCTTCGGTCAGGTTCGCAATACATACGATATGTCTAGTGTCGACAAAGTTTTACACTTTGGAAAACCCAGAATTGTGATTGACTTAATCGTTTTGCTGCTCAGTCACATAGAACGATGCTCACGCGTTCAGCAAAACTGTTTATACGTCTCTAATATATTCCTTTACCCCGATAAATAATTTACTAGGTGTGAGCCCGAAAAAGTCTTTCTGTTTCTGCTAGTCTCGTCCGCGTTTAGAGTATGTCATTGTCAGAATTTACCCCATTTAGCGCACTCATATTTGAGCGTTCACAATGAAACAAGCATCACCTATCCGACCGACTAAAGTACATCGATATTCATGCTATCTCGACTGTCAGGGACATACATGCACACATACGTATCGCAGGAGGACTTGAAGTGTGTTTGATAAAGTACCACTAAATTCTCCGTTGAAATTCGAGAAGCAGTTCAATTCGCTTCACAGTAGTTAAGATATCCGATAAAAATGGGACTAGGGGGTGCAGCAAAACAAAACAATCACACCCAGTTAGGGAAACTCGTACACGTCAGGATGAGTCAATCGTGGTCCGTGTTTTTCACGGGTGTGAGAGGCGTGGATTATTTCGTTAGCGTGAGAAACACGCGACTAGTGTAACCTGGGTCCCACCGGTCTGCGAGACTATTCATGCATGTGTTATTGCCGTTACGATCACTGAAACATGCATGATCGATCGTTGATCAGCGGACAAATGAAACTGTACCCTTCATTTGCGTTTGGTCACTGTGATGATATTTCACAGAATAAGACCAAAACCTGTAAGTTTTAAGCATCGAAAGTTAATCATAACAAAAAATAAACAGCAGTCCGGTTCAGGTTCGAAAAAATGAGGAAATGGGATTAGGTCAGCGCCTAAAATGTGCCTACAGGAAAAATTATTTCGGCCATTCAGGTGAAAATTTAATTTTCTTTGCATGGTTATTAATAAAAAAATTAGTTCATGGGGACAGACAGATGTTACTTGTGCAAACCAGAGGTTCTATATGTCCTTACTCCAGGAATTATGGATTATTGCCGTCTCTCCGATCCTTGTCAATCCCTGATTCAAACAGCTAGGATGATGCTCACTGATGCAATCAGATAGACGTCTCACTCACACAACTTTCTCGACAGGCGCAGCTGCACTCCACATTATATTCACGTCCAAACCTGTTCTCCTAATGCAAACCAAAGACAGAGAGCCTCTGAATGCGAACTCGTTTTGTGTTTAGTAATTAAGAATTATTGATTGTTCAAACTGGAGGATTTTTCAAGGATTAGAGTTACTGAAACAACTCGGTAAACAATAACGTTGAATTGGATTAGTTATATGTACCAGTGCGACTCGAGGGTCAAACAACGCAACAAAATCGAGGTTATGACCCGAAAAAACAAACAAAGGAACACCCAAGATGAGAAAAAAGNAAAAAAGAACAAACTCCGTCTTAGTTCAACTGAAATGAAAACAATGGTATTGACGCACTGACTCGCCGAAACTAAGCGTATATAACTGCGTGGAGAGAAAAAGAACACGACAAGATCATAAGATTTGAAGATGCCACATTGGCTGGTAGTGAAATGCGTTTACAGACAAATCCCAATGAGGTGAACAGACGAAAATCGCTTGAGTCAACTAGGTTTACAAGAGTACATTTGCAGTCTAAGCTTCATCTGTCATCATTATTATCCCAGTATCAAAATAATTTGCTTTATTAGGATATGTTGAAATGAACTGAGCTCCAAATCACATGACACGATGAGAGTAAGAATATACTGCTCCTGGTAACATCGTCTTTTTCCATCACATTCTACGAAATTATCTTGTAAAGTAAGTAAGCCACATGGCTAAATGGACCCAGATCCCATTCGGTCATCAGAATCGCCCAATTGACACCGAATATCTTCGGGGCAGTGACTTCAGCGATTGGTGCAAAACTACCAAAAGATGAGTCTCGCGGGAACAGAAAGTGTTAATAAGAATAATGCACAACCAACGTGCGTTCATCGTATATGAGCTAACATTATTTAGTGTGATCACCAATTCTAAAACTCGCGATCCTGTGATCAACTGAAGTAACTTGGCAAGTTTATTTTTCGCGAAATACTAAAAGGATACGACGAACTATTCACTGCGATTGAAACAAACGCTTTTTTCACTTCGTCAGTTCGACATAAAAGGTAGAAACAAAGACAATTGCAAAATCAATGATCAAAGTAAATCAAATGCATAATAAGCGGGGTTAAAGTGAATGACCCAATCGCCCTGAGATATTTTATTGCCTGGAGGTTATCAGCCCCTCAAACCAACAAAACACTTACCGGTTTCAAAAGTACGTATCCATTTTTTCAAAAAAGGCTTTTATTTAAGAAATGGTTAAAAACACAATCGGTTGCGGTACATCCGATCACTATCGCTACCCCACGGACTTAAAACTCGGGGGTTTTATCAATATACAATGCACGATACAAGTTGTCGATCTCCTTAGTATAGGAACTAGTTGTATGTGAATCTCAAACCATAAATTACACCAAAGGATTCGATCTCGCCTATTCGCCGGGTTGTGTAATTCTTTCACAAATGTTCCATCACTGCTAGAAGTGTTATCTCCTATCATAGTGGCTGTACCAACTCTGGATACAAAAACCGATTTTCAGTGCTATGTTCAGACACCAACGTGTGTGGAAAAAATAATTCTAGGTGGAGAAAAAAAACAGCTTTTAAGTCGAGTTGTCCGAATTACTGTATTATGTTATGAGAGCAACTAATATGCTTTAAAATAGCAGACGTTATCCGAAATCTCGGAACTTTTATCTGCAGTGAAACAATGAAGAACACGAAGAAAACCGTAGTCTATCGCTGAATGTAACCAAAATGTCATCCGAAAGATTCTCCCTCACGGCACATGAGACAATGCAGTCCATAATATTCTCACTTAACCACTGGTTCATTAGAAAGCAATAGCGAAAAATCCTGTTACTGAACAACAGTTTCAAATGAAATCGACACAAAAACAGTGTTATTCTACATACCCTGTCTTCTCAGAATTTCCGGAGCTATATAGTTGGGGGTTCCAACAAGTGACTGTGCACATCGACGATTAGCGAAACTGTTTCTCCGCCGCTCTAATGTCTTCTGTTTGTGCTCCAGTGGACCGTGTGGATTTCTGTTGTAAGCACCAGCTTGCCGTAAATCTTTCACGCGAAGCAGCTTCCCAATACTTTCACTTTTCTCGTCCGACACATCAATCTCTGATGTTTCTGGCCCCTCATCATCATCCATGCAATCACAGACCTCGTCGTCGCCCTCAGGATGATCATCCGCTTCTGGTTTTTCTTGTGTTTGTTTACAATCTAATCCACGTTCTGGTTTGTTCTCGGAAGGAGCATTTTGATCAACCTTTGGTTCTTGGCCCACGGGACATTCCTTTGTATTTTGCTGCGTTCTCGCACATCGGGGAGAGGAGCTTGGTATACTAAAGTCCAGATCCCAGTATTTCGAGCTATGAGTCCAGCGAAATCCGGTGCATAATCCAAAGTCCGTTAATTTGATGTGTCCTTCTCGAGTAATCAGAATGTTGTCCGGTTTTATGTCTCTGACGAAACAATTCGTCGTTTAAACAGTATAAAAGACCAACAATTTCAGGATGACAAAAACAAACTCTCATGAGAAACCGCATGATGCGTATTATAAAATTCATTACAATATATCGGGCTAAAATAGTATAAAGGAGAAATTTCGGATTAAAAAATACGAACCTGCAAACTTGCTTCACTCAACCAAGAAAACAACATTGTGTAAGATTTGAGCGTTGTTGCACACACGATACGATATCGATATTGGGAACTCTCGCTCAGCTCCCGTTATACTAGAACAGCGATAGTTAAACAGTTCGGGTAGCCTGCTTATTATTCCGTAGTTTGTGGGTAGGAACCTCGCTAAAGAAACTCTACTCGTCCACTTACTAAGTGACTGACGGTGGCTCATTTCATTAATGTCTGAAGGTATATTTCTGGTACATCAAATAAGCAAAACTAAGGGAGTGATCATTTCTGCTAATACTGTTATTATATCAGATATCATAATAATTTCACGACGCTTGAACAAACGACTCAACCTGATTGAATGTACGTGGTGAAATTATTATTATTTTATTGGATGTAAATAAATTGTGAACATCCAAAAGCTGTGCTCGCTATTTCCTAGGTCGTTGTTTGAGAATTAGGACCGTATTTTAAAAAAAATAACGCACTGAGTTTTGACACAAACCAAATAGGTTGTCATCAAATGTGGACTGGAGTAGATGTTGGTACTTTGTGCTCAGTCTACAGTGATGAGTTGTCACTGTGAGATAGAGCTCAAATTGTGCACACAGCCAAAAGCCTTTTTCTCGATGCACCACACTACAATCCAACTACTTGTTGCGCCTGACCTAATGAGTTCGGTTCTTGGAATAACCACTATAGTTGCATTCTGTGATAAAAATTGATCACAATCTAATATTTCAGTTCGACTCAGACAAGCATGTGCAACTGGAGCGCATGCATGTGTTGTATGTGACAGAGATATTTGAGTGGAATGATGACTCATTTTTAAAATTGTATTTCGTCACCCCTCACGTGTTTCGCAACTGTAGCTCTACCCAAACCACTGCAACTTCATGACACACAACCGCAAACAACCAAGAAGTGCAGGCCGTCAAAAAGATCAAGTTGTGAAACTATTTGGATGCACGATATGAGATCGAATCGACTGAAGCGCATCGATACCACCACCAACATTCAATCCACATCGTCATAGATACGACATTCCGCTTATCAGCTTGCCTCCGTGGATTAAGGCTGTATACCCAAAATGTTCACTGCTGCATGCAAGCTGTTAAGCTTACATACGTCTCGCACAACATACACACAAGCACACCAGCTATTTCTATCAGTCATTTATGGCACGGAATATACGATGCGCAACTCCAAGTTAAAAATGGGGAAGGAGTAAATGTGCGTGTTTAAGTTCAATAATGAGTAAATGAATTCATCTTTCGAAAGTTATTTTTATTACAGCTTATCCGAAAGCACTGGTTTCATTCTTTTAAATCATTCTTAGTCCTGGTTGCAGCAGCTCTCAGTGCTATACAAACCACCATAGGCAGTCATTGAATTTCAAAACAAGGGTCAAGTGCAAATATTGATCTATACAACAAGCGCATAACAATCTAAGTAAATGTGCGATACGAATTACACAGGTGGTAATAGAGGTCAGTCATCTAAAAAACTTAAGAAACATCCCTCAAGTGTGGCTTAAACACAGGGCGAGTGAGATGATCTCAGTTTCGATTGTTTGCGCAGCTGTCGAAGATTACTTATCTGGGTTAGATCACTTTGGCCCTTATTATCATTTACGGCGTCCCACAATACAAGCCCAAGACTTTTCAGACCAAAGCATTAGCAATATTAGAGCTAAACAATAACTCTTGTCAAAAACCTGCTGTTTCAGAAACTTCCGTATCCACGAGGGAAACACATAATTGGCATACATCAGCTTTCAAAGGCTATATAAACATTTCTTCTACATAGGATAAATAGAGATGAGAGGGACCACCGAAACGCCCTTGCTATCATCAGTGGACGTAGACTATCTAACTTCTCGACATAATCGACAATTTTTCTTACATAACTTCGAGCAAAAGGGTTTGAGAAAGAAACCAACTACCATCTGTAAAACCTTACTTCACAATACCCATAACTTGAGCTGTTGCATATACTTTCTACATCTTCCATCCACTGCCAGAGGATATGCCTCCACAATCATTGAGATAATTCATTATCAAAACAAAAGGTTTTGTACAAACTCCAGGTATGCATATATACGTTTGTGTAGATTAGGGCATATAAGCATTTGTTCACTCATATCAGCATCTGTAAGGGAAAAATTTCATATTTGCAGATAAAAGAACGAGATTTTCAACAATTATCGTAAGGAATTTGTACCCGAGTCTTGCGTTTTTTAAATGCTGGTTGACATGTTCCGTAAGCAGGTTTCTTCTTCCCAAGATTAACTGGTGGGCTTGTGGTAACTACATGAGATCACAATGAAAGCGAACTTTGTTACATGCAAATAAATGATCAATTAGCACCTAGATGCAATAACCCCTGTCTCGAATCGGATTCCATTTGCATACGTATGTTGACACTGTTTTAGGTCTTTGATATTGCGAACATATTTTCTCTATTTTACATTTGACTACTGAAATTAATGGAAAGTAGTATACTTATGAAATGCAATAACCCGTGTGAAATATAAGCGTTTACCAATGCTTAACAAGCGCTTAGAGATGTCTCTAACCGCATAAGCCCGTGAAAACACGCAAATTGAGCAAACCAGCTACAATCCACTGATAAAAAGTTATGAAAAATACCAAAGTGTGTCTTTCACGGGGATCTTAAGCAAAATCTGTCGAAATTCATCGCATCAAAACTGCCGACCGATGCCAAAGGATCATGATGAAATTTCTCGATACCCAACGAACGTATTAGAACAAAGGAAATCAAACGGAAGGCTCTATTACATGCTACTCACCGATGGACGAAACCCATAACGTGTACACTTTCCAAAGCCAAGGTTAATTCGGCCACGTAGAAGCGAGCAAGTGGTTCTTCAAAAATACCTTTTTTGATTAGCAAAGACATCATGTCACCACCTGAAGATATAAGTTAAAAATCTCGAGTTTTCTTGAAAAATCACTAGGTACGATACAGAGCATAATAAATTTAACATTCAAAAGATTCGAAAAGTGAAACTGGATGATGCAAAACGTTTATAACCTCAACATCTACCTCCAGGTATTCACATTTTAAAAGAATTCTCCGCGATTCTAATATAAAGATAGCATGGTTTCAATAAAATAGGGGGTTAGAAGAAGGGCTGTATGAGTCTCCTGAATTTAAACAAAAATTCGTAACCTGAGATGTCTGTGACAAATTTGGAGGCCTAAATTCAACTGTAAATTTCACTGGGATAATCAAATATAGTAAACAGAACTTTTGTGCAATGTCTCGAGAAGAGATTCACTCTCCTTTGCTAACATTTTCGATGAAAAGATGTGTGGAAGATACTTATATTTCTCCACTCTGTTGTATGTTACAATAGTATACATTTATGCCCCAGTTCCAATCCCCCTTGGGTCCAGTGAAAATACATTATGGATGTCTATTATATCGCTTCCAGGGTAAGTGACACGTTTTAAGCCTAAGAAAAAATAGAAAAAATAGTTGATGAACAAAAATAAACTAACCCCTACAAACAAAATATTTTCTGCACAGCACAATTACCAACAACTCCATACATACAATGCGATCGATTATTGTTGATCTCACGAGTTTTTCAATTTAGCTAAATACGATGGCAATGATGCAAAGAGCAAAATTCCCCAAAATATCATCTGAATAGTCCCACAGAGAGCATCTCAAACAAAATAAGAAAGTGATGAACAGGCTCATTTTCAGTGATTTGTATTCATGCCAATAAATCTTCATGTATGTCATCACTGGGAAATAAAAGTGTCTCGTTAAAATCCCATCATATCACATCCAATAGCAGATTACTAAAATTGATTTCATCATGAAACCGGAAATCGGATTAACCAAGAACATATAATTATCTCTTCACTCATCCGATCATCGATATTACTCGTGATACAGCTTGTGGGCCGGTGGGCGGTCCAGGGAAGCGTCTTAAGCGCCTGCTCAAACTGTTTTTGAGTGTAGTGTACAACCCGTATTCAAACCCACCGCCGAAAGTTGTCTTTCCCTCTTTATTTTGCCTTTCAGAATATTATCACTGTGCACAACACGAAAACAGAGAGAGAGAGAGACTAATCGTGAGGCGTAAAACTAATCGCTATGGACTTGAAATACCGTCTGTTTTGTTTTACTGTTTGTTCACGAGACCTGACACGCACGTCAAGATAGACACCGCTGTACTGTTCTCTTTTTTGAACCTTGCAATTGTTAACAATAAACGTTGTCTTTTGACTCTGTTCTTACCTGTGGATTTATACGACGCCTGTTGTTCCGCCTATACTCAGCTAATTGTTGTATCCCTTTCAGCCAAGTCGATCCTGAGATAAGCGAGAATTGTCTAAAATTGCCTGTGAGAACTCAGTGAGTCAACTTCGTCTATCTCCCTATTCGTAACTACATGGGCACATGGAAGGTGATTGTGTCAACAGATTCTCAAGGCTTCTGCTGTGAAAAACATCCGAAAGTGAACCTGACTAAATAGGTTGGAAAATTTTATTGAGTTATTTAAATCGACTAAACAAAGAAGTAAACAAAATTACAGACTTATAGAAAAGATTTATAACAAAGGGTGAATAATAAAATCCTCATCAGAAGTTAAGAATCAGTAATATTGAGTTCATAGTCTTGCTACAACTTGAGCACAATCATTGTTATGCCAAGTCAAATATGTCTTTTGTAGTGAAAAGCGTAATTCATTGGCGTGGTAAATGGCATTATGTTACAGTACCATAAAAATCGATTCCAGTTAGGTTTTAAACAATGAAAGTAGACGAGAGGATGATGCGCCAACAGTTTTATTACCTGGGATGTATTCCATCACAAGATACAATGCACTGTAATCCTGAAAGGAGAAAAAAAGCTTGACAACCCAGTCATTGTCTGCCTCGGCCAGAATATCTCTTTCCGCTTGAACGTGAGCTAACTGGCGACGTTCAACCACATCACGTTTGTTTAGCAATTTCATTGCATAAAGTTGTCCATTGTCCTTTTTACGTACTAACCAAACTTTTCCAAATGCGCCCACACCTATGGAATCGGAAAGAACGGAACGAGAGGCCAAGACTAACTTCAGAGTACCATCTGGAAACCGAATGGAAGTTTTTTAGTTATTCATATTTTAGGAAGATAAGGATTAAATATGTTTGGATGATTGTAAAAACGTCCGACAGAGTTCCGTTTTCATAAAAGCAAAAATGTCTGGTTGGAAGAGCGATAAGCTGGAAAACTGCACGCACAAATGTCTTATCATGGAAGAGTCAATGAATGAACGCACACCGTACATCAATGCATATTAGAACGGATCAGTAGTAAAAATCGAGATAATTCCAGCCAATTTCACTTCCTATAGGGTTTTGTTTAGCTGAGCAAGAAAAAAACTATGTACATCTCACTAGGTTGAAAATGTTCGATTGGAAAAACATATGTATAAAGTTTTCATCCTTGTTTTCCGGCCAACCATTCCGAGATGATGCTGATAATAATTGTATTGAAAACTACTGAAATATTTCCCATTGAGTGGTTAAGAGAAAACAGATCAGAAAATGCGACATCAACAGAGTAAATAGAGCACAACTTATAATAGATTAAAGACCTGGTAAGGAGAGACAGGCAACTGCGAAAGAAATCAAAGTTTAGAATGAGATGGTGCAATTGTGATAAGCGGTATGCTTGGCGTTTGTGTTTGTTTGTGAGTGGTCGGTGGTTGAGGGAGGATGGTTTTTCTAAGGACAGTGGGTGAATGAATGAGAATTTATGAACAGAGATTAAGTCACTGGATTTTAAGATGTGCTCAGTAAAACCACTTTCCTTACAAACTGTTTCTGTTTACACAAGTTTGTGTGTGTGTGGAGACGGATGGCGATCGTCTCGGCTGTTTAAAAATAATTGGGAATTGACCTCATTGGATAATCTTCCCTTGACCGACCGTATACAGGGCGGAAAGCCTCAATTAAACTGAATGTTTTGAATTATGAAATGTTCAACAGTCTCGGTGGGATTCGAACCCACACATGGTAGATACCGACGCCTACGCCTTTGTACAGTTGATCTAAGAGGCCACACTAATAGCACAGATCTTTTCATACTTGGATTGCTCATCTAAATTAGGCTCGAATCCTACCAGAGCTACTGAACTTTTCACAATTCAAAACAATAATTCAAACTGCCAAACAACATTAACTGTGATTAGACTCAGTCATCATCATCATCGTACAGCGAGATACAGAGAAGCGAACTTCACTGGTCGCTGCCAAGGACTCAGAAAAATTTGTCGTAATTGCCGACACCCAGGTGCATGTCAATTCCTGACTCAACCGGAAGGTTGATGCTCCTTGATACGCTCAGTCAGTTTTCGGTTTGTATAAGGAGAAAAAGTTTGAATGTAAATATAATGCGGGGTTGAGCCACAATGTACGTGGATCTGATGGGCCATTGAATTCGTTTACTCAATATATTACCGATCACTTCTCTCCTGAATCTCCTGGAGAAATAGACTACCTTTTTATGTCAAACAATGCCTTGGGTGGGGATATGACATCACGCTTTCATGAATGAGTGACTCAGGGCATCTATGCTCTGGAAAAAACATTCTTTCCAGTTCAAAATCAATAAAGTTTCTTGATTGTATTAGTTTACCAGAGAATCAGATTTTTAATATGCTGCATTTAGACGAAACTTAGGTAGTGTGTACCGTCACTCCCGTGTTTTCTTGTGATGAATACTTTTGCGAATGAAGCCATCTGCGTGTGGAGACAAGAACACGTCTAGAAACGAGAGGCCATCAACAGATTCGTATGAGCTCCATTATGGTTATCTAACAGAATATTGATATATTCGTCAGCATCATATACACATATGATGTCATCGTCTTCTGTAGCAGGTGGATTCTTCTACAGGCTTTGAGCGTGCTCCATTTTCTGATTTGGTCGTGAAGATGTCTGCTACTAGTGGTCCTAATGGCGAATCCAGAGCTATCCCGTCTTTTTGTTTATACGTTGCAGAATTAAAGAGAACTTCCATGTTGTATGTATATAAATAGAGAACTCTCTGGAGTTCATCCACAGGTATCCCAACAGATTTTCCGGAATTTTCTATATAATTTCGGATTAAGTCAACGGTTTCTTGAAGTGGTACGTTTGTAAATCATGAAGCGACATCCAGCGAGAACATCAGCTTGTTCACAAAATTCATCGGCACGATGTATTTTACAAAATTGAAGTAGTCTCATAGACTGAGCTTGGAGATTTCCTTGCCTGCTTCCAGGAAATTATTCACCCAATTTGCCGCAGTGTGCTTCAGAGAATTACGCCTATCCAAAATGGGATTCAACAGTAACCCGTCTTGTTGGATCTTAGGTCATTCGCATACTCGAGGTAATGTGGTCCCGATAAGTCTAATTCTTTCATAGGTGGGCGAATCGACTTTAACTTCTTGTTTTAGTTGCCCCATGTATTTAGATATTCTCTTCTCTGTACCAAGAGTCTTAGCTTTCTCTACGCTGACCGATGTGAACTCGGTATTGACCCCGAGCATTTCGTTTATCTTAGCAAAATAGTCCGCTGGGATTATTAAAACGATTCCCTTTGTGATCATAATACCCTCGTTGCTCATTAGGTGTTTCAGCTTCTCCAAATGTTTCTACTTTAGGAGCCGCTTGGTCCTTTCTACAGACGTTAGATATTGAAAACATATCTGAGCCTCGAGCTGGGGTTATTGTGACAAATCTGTTAATTTTCCGTATAGGTTTTTATGCTCCTAACTAAAACAGATGTGAAGACCGAACTTTGGACCCTAAATGTGACGTGAAGCTGAATCTGGTATTTAAGTTTCTTCAGTTTGAAAAACCGCAAACCGTACTACAGTCGCTATCTTTTGGATACTCATTTTGTGTAGAAAACAACCTGATCAAACCAGATCACAAAAGAATATGGTGAGAGACTTTTACAAAAGCAAATTTGGAGTGTAGGAAAACTTGTAGGGATAGTGAGTGTATGAATGAGCGCCTTGATTATCGCGCTCGGTCAGATCCATTTGTTTATTTGCATCAATTAGTTTTATTCCGAGGTCTCCAATCGCAGAGCTTATTACACTCAATCTGATCAGACTCACTGCTCAGGGATTTCACGTTAATTCGTAGACTGACCGCACTGCTCCTTCTCCACTGGTTGCATTGTTCCTCAATCTTTACCCGGCCCAAATGTTACGGACTTTATCTCAGTTTTCCTCCAGAGCCAGTGTTGAACTTTTTCATAAGCAAACTGTTTGACACCAGTAATAAGGTTCGCAACAGATTGCTACCTGATATAGATTATCGGCTATCCAAACAGCTTATTCTAGCCATACTGACTAACAGTACACTACCAAATTTAACATCTACCTATATTAGCAGTATCACTTCCTATCATATATGTACTCATTATTGGTAAAATAATAAACTACCCTTCACAATAATTCGAGGTACTCTATGTCAGCTACACTGTCACCAAATGTTTATATCCACCTTTTTCAGTTCACTGTAATCTACAAATAATACAGAAAATTCACCAATTTGATCGGCATAAAGCTCCTTTTGACTGGATTCAAATTGATGCGTCAATCACCACCTGTTTGGGCAAAGTTAACAGGCACTGTTCACCGGCAATAATAATTCTTCTCTCCTTTTAGGAAACGGTTTTTGTCTGTGTATTCCAACAAGGACCACATTGTGAGCAGATAGCATGGCATCGTAGCAAAGAAGTTCAAATTCGGTCACGTTTAAATTTTCCGCGTCTGCCTATCGAAAAGATTAAGCTAGCGGATGAAGGCGAAGTGTTAGGGCTGTTTCATCACTCGATGATCATGCAATGCAGTTCTGTTGGCAGTACCATTCACTTGAACTCCCTTGGCTGGTTTCGTTTGCTTTCTGGCCACTCACTTGGTCTACATGTAACAAAAGGATTGAAGATTCAATAAAAAGAATGCGAGTAAACTAGATTTGCGTAGAAACTGAATTGCACGGATGTCATCGTTCACGACACTGAGCTTTGTCATCCAATCACGATCGGAGTGATTAGGCAATATTAGCTGAAGTTCCTCTGATTTTATAACGATCCATTAGATCTATTGTACTACTGGTTACTATAAGCTCTCGAGCAATTTCATTTTGTAAAACCTCGTGGAATCAGTACAAAAACGTGAAAGAATACGGTTCATCCTCACTCTCAATACACTAGAGAAACATATGGAGAAAACTGTTCGGATTTCTATTTTCCAAATTCGCTGGGAATAATCTGTGACCATTCACTGAGAACGATATATTCGCGGGAAACTCCTTGAATGAAGTGTTTCCGGCTCTGAATCAATTCTATCGCGGGTAGGATCGAAAAACTAACAGAACGGCATCCGACAACTGACATGCGACTGGACACAACACTTCGAACCATTCTGCGTACATACATACATACGTAGCTTCTACTCCAGACAAGCTTTTCGTTTCATAGCTATCCGTAAAAGCGGAACGTCACGTATTTGTTTTCTGCACATTCCATTGCCCAAGATCATGTGCCACGCAAGTTCATTTTGGTCAATCAATCCTCCGCTTCGACCTGACTTTGGTTGGGCTTTGGGCAAAACACTGATGGGTCAGATTCCACTGGCCTGGGGTAGGTTAGATTGGAATGCCAGACAATGCTACGCTGGGTACAGGGTCGTGATGAGGCGCATAGGTGCACACACACGGACCAACGTATGGTTGCGCTGACACGCAGACACACACAAGTATGAACGCGGACATTCATCGGGGCGAGAAGCACATGCACACAATGTATTTGGGCTATCAAGAGCTACGTGCATGCCCAGACCGGCGTTTTTCGGGTCTTTCGCGTGCAGATGGATCGTGTTGTGACGAGATTGCCCAAAATCGATCGCTTGCACGCAATCGATCGATTGACGGGTGACCAAGCCGTGGACGGTCGGATGTTGCAAGTCTATGCATATGCACCGCCGTGCATTTGTATCTTCATGCGGTCTAAGCAGTTTGTTTGTGTGTCAGCGTAAGGATGCACACAGGGCGGAACAACTTACATATACGAGGGATTCGGGTAATCAGTAAACACGTGATCATAGGGTAATAGCGATTGGGGAAGTAGCTTACGATGGAATGTACCGATGAGGGTGGGGGGTTCTCATCCGGAAACCCCAGTTACACAATCATATGGACGATAAATGGGGACAGGAAACATGACGACGGGCCATATTTGGTATGTCTATTTTCACAAAACAATCCCTAACGAAATGAAAGAAACGTAAACCACTTTAGACCGTATCGAAAACCCCAAAAGAACCAGATTCTAAGAGACTAAAGCTGATATTTCGGCGTTAGCTACTACGGATACAATGAGCAATTATAAATTACAAACATTATCTATCGACTGATTGGTAGTTTCAAACCAGCTGTCATAATACTGGTATTTCGACTTGAACTATTCTGAATACTAGTTCGGGTTCTGTGAGACACTGATGCACCGATATGACCAAACTACACATACGGACTACAAGTATATGCATGATCTAATAAAATATTATTCGCGGATAGCCACCGCGAAGCCAGTTGTGTTCTTCCGGGGAGATTTGGTGGAGTCATTCAGATGTTGCACAAGACATAAATCCGTGTATTCAAAATCCAGACATACCTAGATGTTTGATTCGATGAAACATGGATTGATCCATCTTTGCACGCTGCATTCGCATATGATTGGACTCTTTTTTACGCAACAAACAGCGCATTTGAGCTCGCGCATTCTCATCTAGACCAACTTTGGCCATTTCCGTTTCCAACCTTGTTCGGCGTTCTTGTCTCTCCCGATGAATGCGACCAACGTCAGCCATCCGCTGCTCCATANATGATAAGGTGTAAGCTGTGTGTGACACAATTTTATGGCGGATGTAGGAGCACTGGGCTCTGTAGGATTTTTTATATTCTTCTCATCCGCTTCTTCTGAACCGTCCGGCTTGCACGCCTGTTTTGCTTTCTCTTCATTATTTGTCGCCGGTGCAGGTCTGGGAGACAAATCCGGATGAGACGAAGGTTTTGAACAATCGGTTCTGTCCAGTTTGTCACAACCACCCGGGAGCTTGATGAGTTGGGCATCCTGAAGCGCGAAAAAGTACAAATACACCTTGATCTCAATCACTTAGATGGGAAAATCAACAAATTTTACACTTGTAACAAGCACTTCACCGAGTAGATTGATAACAAGAACCGTATCATGATAATTCTAATGGAGTATTAGAATAACTGTGAACGGATTTAGGGACACGATGATTGTCGCTTTTTCAAGTCACATTCTGCTATTTTCAATATGTTTGTAGATAGCATCGCTTTATTTCGTAAATTTGTGACTACTGCATCACACATGCGTTCTATGACCTCCAATTAATTTCGAGAAGCGAACCCCTGAAAAAATATGCGGAAATAACATAGGTATAAGGCTATGGATGTGCAAAGCGCTCCAGTTAATGTTATCTTTATCGCTACCTATTAATATTCAGATACGTAATGCGTGTGTTTAGGTTTTGAATCAATTTTGTTTGTCCGTCCAGAGAACTCGGTGCGTTGCTTACTCAGTTCTCGAAACAGGTTTGTGGAGCGCTCAAACAGTGGACGAGTGTGAATAGAATATACCGACGGGAATCTCCTTGAATTGGTGCGAACACAAATGAGGGTTCACTGCTGAGTTACGGGAAGCAGCAATCGAATCTCTGAGGTTAAGAATAGAATTGTAATATTGATTCACAAGACGGTGAATCTGTCTATCACGGGGTGTAGTTACCAGATTGTGGTCCGAAGTAGTAAGGAATTATTGAAACCGACACAGACGGAGAATGGCTGTCAACAAAGGTATTATGTGCATAACTTTGAACATTAATTTCAGTACATGATACCCACGAAGTTTTGTTCCTCCGAAGCGTACGATGATTTGGATCAGTGAGGTTTATGCTTTCCTAGTCGACTTGATAGAACTTGATAGACGACTAATAGAATTATGGAGTACTTCCTTGAGATCAGACATTGTTCTGAACATCTGAATTCTAATCAAAAATCAAATATGCTTTGGGAAAATAAAACAGCCAAGTAATGCCGTTTGATGCATGGAACTGTAAGTCAATCCTTATTTTGTATTATAAAAGAAATATCAGGATTTTTCATTTTACACCTGAATCTTACTCTTGTTGCTGAATTGGAATGATCGGGTCCAGTTATTTTAGGCACTTCAGAGTTTTCCTGTTTGGTCCCTGCTGGTCCTTTTATAGCAGCGCTTGGTGACTTTCGGCTTATCACTCCCGACACCTTTTCCATTGCACCCGATGTCGGATCAGCAAGGAAAGGCACCTGTGATTCTGTGGCGCCAGTGAGGGAAGCAGCTTCTATGGGTACTTGCTTTGGTGTTTGGTGCCTGTTTCTTCTTGGGCTAGCATTTGTCGAAGAGGTCATAGATGAGGGACTTCTAGAAAGAAATTAAGCGTATTCAAATAACGGATCAAACAAAACATAAATATCGTTTGTTTAGATCTCTGATTCTTAGCATTGTGTAAAAGAAGCAGTAATGTCTATTGATGCACTAAACACACTAAATTACCTCAATACGCAATAAAAACCAGAGAAAAATGAATTAAAGTTAACCTAACATTTTAGAATGTAGAATAATCCACTATTCCTACACAAATAGTAACCTCCGTTATCTTTCGAGATTTCCAGGACATTGGAGCAAAACATTTTTTCTGTCTAACCCTGTTCTACCGTAGCCATCAATCTTATCCCAGAATAAGACAAGGCAAACCTCACTTTACTTATGTCTTAAAGTTTATACGGCGTCATTATTGGCAGGTATGAGAGGGATCCGCTTGAGCAGGCGGAAAAGAAGTGGATCAATGCAGCCAACTCACAATGGCGACCATTTGAATGGACAAACACACCTCATTGAAAGGCCGAACTTTTCAAGAACACACCACCACCTTCAACTTGTTTCTTATTTCTGCCTTGATCGTGATCACAGGGACGTAAGAACCGCTCCTTAAAGGGTGATCAAAACGGCTATTGCCATGTCTTGACTTTGCAGTGATATGTTATGTCACCAAGATATGGGTTGTTGCACAAAACGTATACACGAAGTGAAACAGTTTAGTCAGCCTCCTGGTCCCCAAGTGGTTAATCTGCCTGCCTTTTGCATGTGCCATCCCCAGTTCAATACTAAGCTCATCTGAAGGATCTGAATTCATTGTGGTTAAACTGGCTGTGTATGGTACTTCCCAGCTTCACACTCCGCCTGTCCTTTGCTTTATGTATGACAGATTTCATTCTGTAATAAAAATGAAGTATCCGACCACTCCCTTTTAAAATGTTATTTGTCCAAGGAAAATTGCAAAGATTAACACGCATTCGTAAGTTGTACAGAAGTCAACTTGAAGTAAAACACCGCATAAAAAACGAACTGCAATGTGGAATTTCAAGTCTAATTGCCACTTGGTGAATTGAATCGAGTTTGCAGATGACGTATGATTCCTTCTGAAAGAAGTCCAGAATATGATCTTGATCATAAAATTGGTGATTTATGGTCCCAAAAAGACTAGTTCTGACGATTTTATCATAATTAATTTAACCGACCTTAAATTAACAATGCATAAGATATGTTTGAATCCAAAGAACGACTTCGGCTAAAACTGAACATGGAGAACCAAGAGCAACTAGGTTTGTGCTCGAGGAAAAGATTGTGTTAACAAATAAAATAATTGAGTTAATAAGTGCATTGTGATATTCTTTTGAGGAACCATCATTAGCGTTGTTGATGGATCTGTTTGACCAATATTGGCGAAGATGGAACATGTGTATCCATGCCTCCGTGGACCAGTGTCAGTTAAGTCATGCTCAAAATATGGCGACTGATAGGGTAAAATATATGATCGATTTCGATAGCTGAATATTGGATTATTTGAAGGACACCAGATAACTGAAACAACCGATGCAGCTATGCATCCATAGCTCAGTTTACTCTTGGACGAGCGTGTTCCACATAAAACTTCTGTGATATGCAATAATGCAGATGCTCCGGTGAACCATTGTATGTGTGCATTATTTGACAGGGTGCGCAGTGAATTCACTAAAGGTCAAAAACAACCGAACCTATCCGTGATTAGGGGAACTGACTGAATTAACCTGGCAAACCGGAGCTAATAGGACTTAACAACGCCTTTGGATATTATCTTTGAAAACGATAAAACGAAGAAAGAGCACAAAGAGAAAAGCTTCGCAACTAAGATAAGTGAGAAAATAACTGCGTGCGTGTATTCCATTTTTCAAATGACACTTTTTCAGTATTTGCAAAGTATATGGAGTCAATATTTTGATACTTGAGATTTGTTTGCTCTCCATTCATCACCTATTAGACAAAAGAAAGTACTTTATTCTTATAAGTTTAATTGAACATTTATTTCCAGTTGCCGTTTTAGTTCTGACACGATGCTCAAATCATTGCGTCGTGATGCAATACTCAGGCACTTCTTTGCTACTGCCCGATGAGAAATAATACCCAATTAGTCAAAGTAATTTTGATACTGGTGAGGCATCAAAATAGAACTTCTGCAAACCATAAAAATACTAATAACTGAACCACTCAATCAGTGATATCTCCGGTTAGCTTGTCACAAACTCCGTTTAAACAAACGCATCGACGAAGAGTGATTTTAAGTAACATCATCTTAGGCGGCTCAGTTACATCTTCCAACGATCTGATCAAAGCATGCATGCACACATTTTTGTTTTTCTTGGGCTTTGGTTAATTATAATCATGGCAAGAATTTCGGAAATCTCATACGAGGTGCCTTCGGTTCCACATCGTCAATAAAGTTGTCCAATTAAAATATAATTTGATATCACTCATCAAGGGAATCGCTTCCAAAATTGCAATCAAGATAATTGCTATTCATACAAAAAGTGGCTGGATTCAAGTGAACCAAGTAAAATTAGGAAACTACCTTGATTTGTAATCGAAACAAATGAATGACTCATGCTTCTTGTGTTACCAATTTCCATCATAAATGTCTCAAATATTTATTTATCTGTAGGAAAATAACTGTGATAATTCTATCGGCAGTTTTGTCTGTTTGATTCTATAGAGTAATTATGAACTTTTAATGATTGCACAAAAGTAGTATCTTGAGGACTGGGCAGAATAGCTGTGGGTAAACAAGACACGTTTGATGACAGTTATGATAACTGTTAACTTTACTTTAAATCACTCCATTGAAAAATAACCAATCAAAATGCCATTTGGAAAACAAATCAAAAATTAAATTTATTCAATCCATTTCGTCCACATAAGTTGGACACCAATTTATTTTATTGGATAACTTGTTTACGAAGATAATTGGAGCACAATTTCAGGGTAACGAATTTGGAGAGAGAAGCCAAAACAGAGGTTCGCGAAATGCATCCTGGATCAATTCGCTGCATCCGTACACGTGCAAACTGCAGTTTAAGTGATTGATAATACATGATCAGGATATTCAGAATCTTAGGCTAAGAAAGAGTGCAATCAGCATTACTGATCGAACGCTTTTTTTACCAAAGTAATGCCAGAGTGATAATATATTCACTCTTTCTTGGCAAAAGATTAATTGTCAGATAAGAAGCACTCGCTGTGATATTACTCCTAACGTTAAAGACTGCACCCAAGAGGAGGTTAGTAATAAGCAAACTTGAGGTCAACTAAATTACACTGTCAACTCGTTCCGACTAATTGCAAGTTTCATATCTCATTCATATTCATGTGGCATACTGATCTGCTGTAAAAAGGAGTGAGCTAAGGAATAGCGGACGAATAATCACAGTAACTTACTGCAGGAATAATATAACTTCGGACAATAGAAGCAAGAAGCCTAGCGTTGTTAAATAAATCATTAGATGCATTCAAAAACAGAAAAACTATTTAATGACGGACTCTGTGGTGTCCTTCTTTGAGGTGGTTATAACCGCACCACCGGAACGACTCATCGGATCCGACAATGGGGAGCCACTGGCATCCTGCGTAGCCGTTTCTCGGGCCGGAGTCACACGAGTACCTGAGGAGCTGGCAAACTGGTGTCGTGAGTTAGATCTTGGTGGTAGAGGGGGCGGCAGAAGGGTAGTGGGCTTTTTTAACGATGTATCCATTTTCGAACTGGTACCAGCAACCTGTGAGCCACTTGAGGGTTGGAATGCAATTTGTTGAAGTGAGGCACTCTGGCTTGTGGGCAAACGTCCACTCATCACCGGTTTTGGAGGAACGTCAGCTGTAATTGGTTACAATATACGAGCGGTTATAGTGAACTTCAATGAATTATTGAGCACTATGACCGAATGTTAAGCATGATGCTAAGATTCCGGAGACAGTCAGAAAAACGGAGAAACGAAGTGAGCAAAAATGAGCCACTGAATCTTCTGAACTCGATTTAACATTGCCTTAATTCACGAAGAACTGACCTGTCGTGTATTAGTGATAAACTCTGTTGACTTTCTGATAAACAGTTTGGCGAATGAAACTTGGGCACTAGCATGTACTATGAAGTATGGTATTACATACACAGAATAAAACAACAGTAATAAGGAATGCTTCAAACAGACAGATTGAACATGTGAATTCGAAGACAAAATTGGGAAGCCTAATATATTCTGTATTTGCTTGATAACAATTGTGACACCAAGGCAACCATGGTGAAAACTGAAAAAGGTTGGTACAAATGGAGAAACCTAACATGACCCACGTGAGGAGATTCAATCAAGTTTAACGTCATTCTACACTGGGTTTGACCACCGTTGACCTTTAGACCCTTATATGCTCCGGTAAAGGCTACACGTCTGTCCAGTAATGTGAGCACCGGAAAGGGGCCGCTTTCGACCAATAAATTGCTAAAATGGTAAATACAAACAATTACATGAGCAAATCAACACTTGCCTGGACTTAATTTTCTAACTGAGGTCCTCATCATGTTGTCGGGCTTCTGGACATCTCCATTGGCCAATCGACATGAGGTGGATGTTGTTCGAGCGGATCGAACTGGTGAAGGCTTATCGTCCATGGCGGTTGATGGGCTTGTACCCATCGGAGATGTCCGCTGCATGGAGTTGGGTTGTAAAGAATCTGAGGTTGCCCATGAAAGATTGTTTGGGACCACCGGTCTGCGAGAGACGGAGGATGGACTGGATCCAGATGTCCCACTGTTTGGTCCAACATGTAAGGAGGGAGGTTGCATATGGTTTGGTCTACCTGAGTAGGTCACTGCACCCATGGCGACGCCGCAGCCCATTAAACCGCTAGCTTTCGGATTTGCAGCCATGGGATGCACAGAATTTGGCGTCAGGTGAGAACCAAACCGTGGTGACTGACGATTGGTGGCAGGTGACATTGATTGACACATAAAACTGATCGCATCTTGGGCACTTCGGCTGTGTGTTAATCCGTAGAGAGGCTCCTCAACTCCAATGGGGTACGCATGAGAAGACATTTCCATACCGTTTGTACATGGCGCTTGAAGAGGAGTCAATCCAAACGTGTGGGGTGGAGGCATCGAGCTGCTGAGGGATCCATCGGTAGTACCGTAAAACCCAGCGTAGCAACTAGTGGAGAATGTTGCAGCACATCCAGGAGATGATGCATTTGACGAGTTGCCACAAAACTAAAAATGATAAGTTGGGATTAAAGAAAGTTAGTTTGCTCGATCTAAACGAGACAAAATCACATAGCGTAATTTTCATAAACTCAGCCGTTTTTTAGCCGATTGAATTAACGTACAGTGATTGAAGAAGAACACTAGGTAGCTATCTTTGTCTATCCTGGGACCCATCAGCAGTGTGAACATTTTGTTCTCCTACTGGGATCGAAACCACAAAACTTCGGATAGGAAGTCATGCTCCTAATCAACAACCAAATCATAAATATATCCTACACAGTGCCTAATGACTGTACATTTGAGCTGACTCATCTAAACATGACAACTTAAATAACTTGTGCTCAGTTACACCTTTGTATTTTCTAGTGCATACATTTTGACAGTTGTACACTGCTCACATTATGAAGCAGAAAATTTACTGTAGCTTTTATCGTCATTGAAATCTGTTACAATATCAAACGGAAGAGTTCAAGTAGAAAGAGTAGCCAACTGACCAGAAGTGCTCCGATCGCCTATTACATGAAATTTATTAGACCGACAGGATACGCGTACAGACTTACACAACATCGAATTGCACCAACTGCGACCAATGGTGTGCTTTAAAATCAATTTATTTGTGAGTATTAATCGATTCCAAGTTAATCTAGCACGAATTCTTAAGCCGTTGATGGCTTTTTTGTCTTTCTGTAGCGCATCTCATTTTAATGCTGAATTTAAACTCAACCCAGCTCATTATTTTCAAAAGGTCGTTAATTAAGTAAACAGGGTGCTTAAATCATATTGTATGGAATCAACAAATAGTAGCTTGATAGGAGGTAGTAGCATCAATCCTAATAAATTCACACTAATAAGTTGACAACGGTTTACAGTATTCTTCTTATTCTGTTATACCCGTGAATAAGCCTAACCAATTTTAAACAAAGAGCAAATGAACTTGATAAATGAAATGGTTTGAAACACAGAGTTTCGAATAAAACCCAAGTAAATGAGCTAATAAAATTAAATTAGTTAGGTATCAACGTATCGTTTGAATACATCAATTTTTGAACGTCATAATGCGAAGAAAACTAGTGATCAACTGACAAAATAACGGTGAACAAGCTTTTTTTCGTAACTCCGTCTTCAGGCGTTTACAATTATGCGTGTTTATGTATAATGTACAAATAAATGTGATTAGTCCATTGAGGGTAAATGTGAAAATACAACAATATCTGTTAGGTTCAATAGGAGCAAATGGAGAAAAGGGAGGGGGAGAAGGGGGACCAAGGTCAAATCAAGACCGGTACTGGATATGTGAAACTTTCACATAATTGCTCGATGGTTAGGAACCGATCGGGAAGAAAACCTGTAAACATAGTCTGAAAGATACTTTCGAACCAAACGACAGCAACCAAAACCGGCGCACGAAAGTGCATAGTTGATGGTTGCAAGAACTGAACTGAACTGATATAATTGAGACGCTAACATTAAAGGCTTGACATTGACCTCATTGGATATACAATCATTTTTATAAAGGTGTCACTCTTTGAGACGGTCTTATCTCTGCCAGTACATCGATGGGGAAAACATACAAATTGGAATTCCAACTGCGAACCTGAAAAAACTACTATTGCGATGTAAATTTGATATAATTTTTTTTAATGGTACCATCTACAGACAGACGGAGTGTGTAGCCATGGGTTCCCCACTTGGCCCGCTTTCTGCGGATGTATTTGTAGCCAAACTGAAAAACAACGAACTACGGGACATCATTCATCAACTCCCACTATACCGTCGTTCTGTCGAGGATATTTTTTATCCTTTCCGATCAAAGTATTTTTCCGAACATAATATTGGATCGTTTTAACCGAGCTCATCCGTCAATCAGCTTTACGACTGAAATAGAGGATCACATTAGTTCCTCAGTGTTAACCTGAAGAACGGGTCCAATGGAAAGTTATAACGTTCGATTTTTCGTAAACCAACATATAACGGTCAACACATTCATTTCTAAAGTTTCGTCCCAATCAAATTTAAACGAAACTTAGTTCAATGTTTGGCCTTTAGAACTCGAATGATTTGCTCCAAGGATTTAGTGAAGGAAGAACTAAGAATCACTAAATCCACACTCCTGAACAATGGATACCCGGAGCGTTTCATCGGGAAGAACTTTATGGAAAAGCCCACATTACCAAAAACAATCATGGTCAAAAAGAAAGAACCATTACTACAGCTCCCGTTCAAAGGAGATTCAAGCGGTGATCTACTAAGAAGACGTTTAGACAAAGCAATCACACAAACATGTCCAACCGCCACTCTATGTGCGACGTTCACAAGCCGGTCACAGCTCTGCACAAATCTCGAGGATAAGCTGTCCATTCTCTCCTCATCCATGATTATATGTTCCTTCACCTGCACATGTTCGGCAAGTTATGTGGGACGAGCGATGAGATAGTTCTCACAAAGGATCAGAGTACGGTTTGCTAGAAAATAACGACCAGTGCCATTGTGGCCCACCTCGCCGATATCGGGCACCAGACGAAAACAATGATGCATTTAAAATCATCGGCAAAATGCCCCCAAAAAAGTCAAACTACGTTCGGCAATGGCAGAGGCTACAGCAACCAAAATCCTGAACCCACCATTGTGTAAACAGGAGAAAATAGTTGCCTTGGTGCCTCCCCTAACTATGTGACGTTCCGAAATATGAATTCAATCAGGTCATGATAGGGCAAAATGGCGAGACAAGTCGAACGGGAAAAAAGGTGATCGGAAATTTTCAGAATTGAACATGGTCCCTCTTCTATCTCTTCTGTTTTCTCCGTTTGCTCCTACTGAACTTGACAGACATTGTTGTACTTTCACATTTAACCTCAATGGGCCAATCACATTTATTTCTACATTACATATGAACACACAACTGTAAATACCTGACGACGAAAATATGACAGCAAGCTTGTTCGCTGTTTTTTTTGTCTTTTGATATTTTTACTGGAATCTTCCTCCAAACAATAACTGACTTTTAAACGAGTATAAAAAATTAAGATGGTTTTTTCCAAAAAAATAAATTTTCAATACTCAAACCGGAGAATAACATTAAACAACTAAATGTATCAACACAGAATTTTCATGCGGACACAATATGCTGCAATCTAATGCTAGATGCCAGTAGTTCAGTTCGAATGGCCATAACGGACATTTCTCTAGAACGGTTTCTCAGAAAAATCCCGCAAGTATAATAAGTGGATAACTATCTTTAGGTGCATCAAAAAAAACAACTTCGACAGGTCTCTTTATTGCTTACATATACATTAGAGAACCAATAAAGGGTTTCAAAACTGCTACATTCCGTTTCTATTTCACGGTATATGTTAATGTCCATTCTTTTGAACTTCGTGGTCACTCATACAAATACCCACACACTTAAACTCGACATATACTCACGTTTGGTAAAACATTTTGATGCGTCATAACACCAGACGAAATGACCATGGGATGCTTATGTGAATGCGGGAGTGGCATCATTGCGTTGGAGAAAACGCTTGTTGTGAACTCAGAATAGTTTTCCATTGATTCTGAAAGGTCCTTCTGCATGCCACTAAGGGAATCTGGGCAAGTGGCTGATGTAGACAGTTGTAGCTTTATGCAGGATGAATTCATTTATCTTCTGGGTTGTCTTGCTCTGGCCTTAGGTGAAGATCACCTTAGCAAAATATATCTCAAATTACATAAACTCCATTGTTGCGCAAGACATCTGAAAGATTAAAAAACAGTGAAAATCAAAGTGAATTATGATAACTTTTTGTGTCATTTTAGTATCCTCATTACTTTACTGATCAAAACTAAATTCCGATAACTGCAATTTATTGATAAAAATTAAAGTTGAATGGGTAAGTGTAGTGAATAATAATAAGTGTAATAAATCACTTATTTGCATAAACGATCTCCTGAATGCAAGCACAGAAAGACAAATTTCACTTCTATCTCAACGACAGGAGCCGGAAAACCAGATTTTAAATTATCACGACGAATATAGGAATTTCCCCCAGAATGTTTCGCTAGACGATATCTGGCTCAACTGGTTTCTGTTAAGTATTTTGTAACTGAGACGTATAATTCTCATATGATCATAAGATCAAACAGATTTGACGCGGACCCGTAGTAGATTGCAGCATCGAAAAATCACTGCATTTTGAGTGAGACTGAACGCTCCGGTTGAACTTTCCTTAGTTAACCTTCTGGCCTGCGCGATGAGCAGTGAAGCACCCCGCAACAATGAAGTGATGAAAACAAATACAAAGTGTGTATTAATGCACATTTCCTGTTCACCGGACGTTGTTCTGTATAGTTTTACTGATTATTTCAAACCACAAAATAATTACAATAAATATTTAAATTTCTAACAGTTTTAATTCGCTTTTTTATTTTTTGAGTTTATAAATTTACGGACAACTTTCAGGAAGGAAACCGCTGGCATACAGATGATACCTAGGGCAGTAGAATACGAGTATTCGTAGCAAAAACAACTGATATGAAAACTCTTGATAAATGAATGCTCGGTTTAGATTTATTCTTCATTCGAAGGTTAATACAGAATAGAAATACTGTTCAGTTAGGTTGCATGTC